GGAGGCACCACACTAAAGATGTTCATGATGCAATCAGGGCACTCTTCTCGGATCTTGCTGATAAGGAGAGTACACATTCCAGAGCCCATTGAGTGGGTCAGCTGGAAGCCCTGCAGGCAGTCACAGCTCTCTGCGTCCTCCTGCACCACATCTATGACTGAATCAACCAGCTCGGCCCCCTCTATGTAGTGGCCTTTGGCCCAGTTGTTGCTTGCCCCAGACTGACCAAAAACAAAGTTGTCTGGTTTAAGCACCTGGCCAAAAGGGCCTGAGCTAGCAGAGTCCATGGTCCCAGGTTCTAGATCCACCAGGAGAGCACGAGGAACATATTTGCCATCTGTGGCTTCACTGTAGTACATGGAGATGCAGTCCAGCTGCAGGTCGCTGTCCCCATGTTAGGTGGTGGTGGGGTCGATTTCACGTTCATCATTGATCACATCCCAGCACTTGGCACCCATCTGGTTGCCACACTGACCGGCCTGGATATGCATGATTTCCCTCATGGTTAAAATTTATTTTAATTTTTTTGGTCACCTCTAGGTATGCACGGGGCAAGAATATATGTAATTTTTTTTCTCTGCTGGCTGCAGGCTGAAAGGATGGAACGCGCCCCAGAGGCTAAAGCAGCAAGGTGCAAACGTGGCAGCAGGAAGGTTCTGAGAAGCAGAACTGTGCATTTTATTGTATAAAAATTAGATCTAAATTTTAATAACAAATATAGATATGAAAAATTATATTGTTACTATAAGGCATGATTTCTGAGTGTTTCAGTGGATGGCAGAACAAAAATATCTAATAATGGCAATCAAGCAAATAATAATAAAAATGTGCTATTTCAGAGGAGAAAAAAGTTGTATGTCAACAAGAACAACTAAAATGAAATATCATATTCATCTCCTAATGAAACAGAGGTTTCCTATATGAATAAGGAAGCTGTCTGAAAGGAGAATTTAAGTCACTTCTTTACACACAAACTCATATACTTTACAGTATAACTCTTTTTTTTTTTTTTGAGACGGAGTCTCGCTCTGTCGCCCAGGCTGGAGTGCAGTGGCCGGATCTCAGCTCACTGCAAGCTCCGCCTCCCGGGTTTACGCCATTCTCCTGCCTCAGCCTCCCGAGTAGCTGGGACTACAGGCGCCCGCCACCTCGCCCGGCTAGTTTTTTGTATTTTTTAGTAGAGACGGGGTTTCACCGGGTTAGCCAGGATGGTCTCGATCTCCTGACCTCGTGATCCACCCGTCTCGGCCTCCCAAAGTGCTGGGATTACAGGCTTGAGCCACCGCGCCCGGCCTACAGTATAACTCTTAAAGGCTTCAGTGATTATACCACAGGAATATTTATTATCACCCGGACATCTCCATGTCCCATTAGCAACAAAATCAACACTGAAGTATGATCTAATTCTTTTGAGAAATAAAGAAAACAGTTTAGTCTATTTACCAAAGGCAGAAAATAGTTTTTAAATAGTGTCTGTGTAGCATTGGGCACAACATTTACATAGAAATATGGTACCTTGAGGATGTCACACTAGAAAACAAATTTTCTTTACAAATTAAAGAACATTCTTTTCCAGAAATGGTCAAAAATTATATCTTCATACTGTGATAAAAACGAGATTTATTACTGGCAAATAAACAAACAAGAACTAGTTAAGTAGATCCATCATGGCTTCCTTTTGTGGAAATGTTGGGAAGAGAATTCTGGAAGTTATTGTGTTCCTACTCTTTTTGGGGGACTCTACCATATACTTTACATACATATATTTCCTCATTTAATCCACAGAACAGCCTTATAAGGTAGGTACTATATTCCCATTTTATAGAAAAGAAACTAGGATTAACTGGCTAAGCTACATACTAAAGAGAGTGAAGAGGCTAGGTTCACACCCAAGACTTCATTCATACAGAACATGTACCTATAATTCAGGTACATCCCTTACATATATATCACTTTCCATTCATAGCCACTATTTCTAAAAGTGTATCTGCACTATTATTGCCACTTTCTCACTTATAATTCTTTCTGAATCTCATGTGCTTCCATGCAAAACACTTGTTCAAAATTGCTCCAGGATTGCTAACGACTTTGTAACAGCCAAATCCAAAGGACACTTTTCGTTCTTTATCTAACTTTTGTGGCCTGATCTCTTACTTTTGAAACACTCTCCTTCCTTGGCTAACTGAGCATTCCCTCTCATTATTCTTAAATGGTTCTTCTTCTCTACCTATACCTTTGATGTCTACTAACGTTTAGGGTTTTATCCTTGATGTCTTTTGCTAGATTTCTTTTCAACTCCAGATTTCTATTTGGTTCTTTAATTTCCTTGTTTGATTTTGTTTGTTTGTTTGTTTTTGTTTTTTTCTCTGTTCCCCAGGCTGTAATGCTGGAATGCAGTGGCACAATCACAGTTCACTGCAGCTTTAACCTCCTGGGCTCAAGTGATCCTCCTGCCTCAGTCTCCCAAGTAGCTGGGATGACAGATGCATGCCACTACACTCAGCTAATTTTTTATTTTTAGTAGAGGGGAAGTCTCACTATGTTGCCTGGGCTAGTTTCGAATTCCTGGGTTCAAGCTATCCTCCCACCTTTGCCTCTCAAAGTGCTGGGATTACAGGTGTGACCCACTGTGCCTGGTTGTCTTTTTCATAATTTCTATTTATTAATATTCTCTATCTGGAGAAACATTGTTATCTTACTTTCCTTTAGTTCTTTATATATGGTTTCCTTTAATATATTTAAAATAGCTAGTTAAAGTCTTTGTCTAGTAAGTCCAATGTTTTGGCTTCCTTGGGGATAGTTTCTATTGACTGCTTTTTTTCCTAGGTATATAGGTCACCCTTTATTGTTTATCTGCATGTCTTTATGTTTTTTGTTGAAAACTGGACATTTTAAATAATATAACGTAGCTCCTCTAAAAATCAATCAAACCCTCCTCTTTCCCAGTTTGTTGTTGTTGTTGCTGTTTATTGTTATGGTTATTTAGTGACTTTTCCAAGCGAATTCTATAAAGTCTGTAATCTTTGTCCCACATGGCCACTGAATTTTCTCTTCCCTCAGCTACTGACTAGATAGAGATGTCCTTAAATGACTGAACTAAAAAGTCTCCTGGTCTTTATTGGACCTCTAGCTGCATGATGTGGTCCTCAGCCAGGCATTTTACAATTCCACCTTAGCCTTTGCCTTTTGCTTGTGCAGAGCCCCAAGTTTAGCCAGAGGTGAGCTTAGGACCTTCTCAGGTCTTTCCTGAGCATGTACACAACTCTGACCTTATATATGCCATTAGCCTTCTAGATTCCCAGGAATATATCAGATCTTTTCAAAGTCCCGTATGTACATCTTACTCCCCAACTTTTCCTTTTAAGTTTTTTGTTATTTTGTTGTTTACCCCAATTGGCACCTGAGGTAGCTACTTTGTTGAACAGTTGTGGTTGATTGTTTTTGACAAGTGCCTCTAGGGAAAATACTCTTTGCACTGGGTGAGTTTTCAGTGAGGTGAAATAAAGACAAAGCTTTCAAGTGGGGTTTACCAGGACACCACCAGACAGGGCATATAATGACAGTTCTCTGAGGAAGGGGCTTTGAAAGAGCTCCAACTCTGTTCTGACTTGTTCAGTGCCAGCTAGGCTGCTAATTTTCACCATGACTGCAAGCTGTAGGTTTTCAAGGCTACCGTGGAGCTGCAGAAAGGGGGAGGTGTTAAGGCAGGTGAAAATGCCACAGCTTGTTGCTCTCACAGAGATTATGCTCTTTGTTGTTGTTTTAAGCACCCCCCACCTCCACTCCCAACAGATTGTTGTAAATCCGGTTAATTTTTAAAGTTACAGAAAAAGTTGATCTTGACAATTTTTGCCAGTGTTCTCCAAACTTTTATAAAGGACAGGATTTTTGGATGTTGTTATTTTGCCACTTCCCATAACATCACTGATCATCCCCGTAATTTTTAGATATCTTTGAAAGATACTAGATTGTTTAAAGCAACAATAATAATAGTATATTGTGGGGGTTACAATATACTTAGGAGTAAGTGTATGGAAACAATAACACAAAAGATAGGAGAAGGTAAATAGATAGGCGGCTGTAAAAGTCTTACATTATGTACAAAATGGCATAACATGCTATTTGAAGGTAGACAGTGATATATTAAAAATGCATTGCTGGTAATCCCAGCACTCTGGGAGGCCGAAGCAGGTAGATTGCTTGAGGTCAGCAATTCAAGACCAGCCTGGCCAACATGGTGAAACCCCATCTCTACTAAAAAAAAAATACAAAAATTAGCTGGGCATGGTGGCACAAGCCTGTAGTCCCAGCTACTCGGGAGGCTGAGGCAGGAGAATGGCTTGAACCCAGGAGGCAGGGGTTGCAGTGAGCTGAAATTGTGCCACTTCTTTCCAGCCTGGGCAACAAAGCGAGACTCCATCTCAAAAAAAAAACAAAAGAAAGAAAGAAAAAAGGAACTACACGGTGAGGTTCCCTTTTTTATTTAAAATTTTTTATTAAAAAAAAAAGAAAAAGAAACTGCATTGTACAAGTTTGTCGTTTTATAATTAAGGAATTAAAAGTTAAAGTGATTGACTGATAAAAATAGTTTCACACAGCCAGCCAGTCAACAGCAGAGCCATAGTAAAATTCTTACTTTATAAATTCTAGTCCTGTTGTCTCAAGAGAAAATAATTTCCATGCAATGTCAACCAAGTATACAACTACATATAAATAACATGCTCATTTCAAACGATTCTTACTTAGCAAGTCCAGTAAGATCTCTACTTGGAAACATCCTGAATTTAGTTTTAATTAATTCAAATTCTCATCAATTAATCAAGATTATTTAAGTGTGTTCTACTTAATGGAACATCAAAAATATTGCAGCTAAACAATCATGTAAAGCACCAGCTACCAAGTTCAGAGAATATAATATTTCATTCAAATGAAAGACTAATTCGTTCACACTTAAGGAAAAAAATGATTTAAAAATGTATGAAATCTGTATGTAGTATTACCTGTAGCTCCTAGTGGGTGTCCCTTTGAAATCAGTCCACCACTAGGATTTATAACCCACTTTCCTCCATATGTATTATCTCCTCTATCAACCAGTGTTGCACCTTGTCCTATAGAAGAAAAAATAATATTTACAAACGTTAATAGTAACAATAGAACAAATGATATGCTTTTATAAGATTTCCATATAGCCAAGAATTTCTTGTAGCAAATATTTCTTAACAGTTCAAACTAACAACAATTTGACATAAGCACTTTCAAAAGTAATAAATACTTACAATTTCAGAACATTTCCTGTATGAAACAAAAGCTCCTATTAGTTCCATAGAGCTCTCTGGCTTCCAGAATTGCTCTAAATATGGTAGAGATTCAGAGAACTAGGAGAATAGAACTGAAATGGATATAATGCTATAACTAAAATAATTATGTCAGCTTTTTTGCCAAAATGCATAATTTTGCCAAAATGTGTTCTTTTCTATTTTCAACCGTACTGCTATATACTATATAAGTATTTTTAATAAATATGGAAAAACAGGAGAAAAAAGACACTTTCATAAAATGAAGACAAATATCTGAAAACACTGTTGAGCCACAAAAGTAAGGTTAAAAAACAATTACTTCATGTGCTCGGTGGCTTCAATATTCCTGTCAATTTCCTGGTCATTTGGTCATTCTCCCAGATGGTTAAGAAGTAAATAAAAATGTATGTATTGTATAAAATTGTCTTCCACATCATATTTACGATAAAGTAATAAGATGTGGACACTCCAAATAATGACAATAATGATGGTGGTGATGCTGTCAAAGGTAGTGAATAGCTTTTGAGCACTCACTCTGGGTCAGGTCTTGTTCTAATTATTGTCTGTATACACAGTCAGCATCCACAGGTTCCACATCATGAATTCAACCATCCACAGATCAAAAATATTCAGAAGAGGCCAGACACCATGGCTGATGCTTGTAATCCCAGCACTTTGGGAGACCGAGGCAGGTAGATCACCTGAGGTCAGGAGTTCGAGACCAGCCTGGCCAAGATGGTGAAACCTCATCTCTACTAAAAATACAAAAATTAGCCAGGCATGGTGGTGCACCCCTGTAATCCCAGCTACTCAGGAGGCTGAGGCAGGAGAATCGCTTGAACCTGGGAGGCAGAGGTTGCAGTGAGTCAAGGTCATACCATTGCACTCCAGCCTGGGTGACAAGAGCAAAACTCTGTCTCAAAAATACATATATATATATTCAGAAGAAAAAAATTACAAAAAGCAAAACTTCAATTTGTATGTGCTGAGTACTACATTGAATCCATGTGAATGAAGTGATGTGTAGTTATTATAAGTAATCTAGACATTATTTAAAGTATACGGGAGGATGTGCATAGGTTATATGCAAAAATTATGCCATTTTATATAAGCAACTTCCATGGATTTTGGTATCTGTGGGAGGTCTTAGAAACAACCCCCCACAGATACTGAGAGATGACCATATTTATATAATTTAATATTCAATCCTATGAAGTAGGTGCTATCATTCTCATTTCTGAGATGAGAAAACAGACAGAGATATTAAGAAATCAGCCAAGGCAACAACAAGAGATCCAGGATTAATACTCAGGCACCCTGGCTCCACAGCCTGTGTTCTCAGCTAATATATTATATTGCCTTCAAAAACAAAAGTTCCTCTGTTGGTAAAATGAAATACACTAATCACAGGATTTTAGATGACTGACACTTCTAATTTGGCTTTAAATCTAGGTTATAGATAAAACCATTGGTTAAGGCATTCTCTCTTTTATTTTTTGGTATGTTTCTATCTTAGAAATTGCTCTGAGGTTGTAGTCATCAGAGATGAATCTATCTACTATTGCTACTTACAAACTGCTAAATATTGTTTCTATAGCAAGTAATAGCAAACTAAACACAAGCTAACCCCTAAAAATGAATAATTCACTACACTTTTCCTATAATGTATACAATCTTGTAAAGTATTAAAAGATTCCAAAGGGAAGTTATCTTGAACTCATCAACTAAAAATATTCAGAGATTAAAGTACTGTAAATGAACACTCTCACCTAGCATAGATAGGAAAACAAATGCATACGCTTTTGGAAAACAATTATTATACCTGTTCTGTGCCAAAAACTAAACTAGGAACTTAAGGATACAACAGCGAACCAAATGAAAATCCTTACTATCATGGAGTTTAAGTTATTGTGGGGAGAGGGGTGAGGAAAAGACAGACAATAGGTAAAATAAGTAAAGAAATATGTAAAGTGGTGACAAATGCCAAGGGAAAAAAGAAAGCAAGAAAAGGGCATAGGACACATTGAGACAAGGAAGATGGAGGTGAGTGATTTATATTTCAGACAAAGTGATTGGAGAAGGCTTCCACTGAGAAGGATATTAGTCAAAGACCTGAAGGGAGTGAGGAAGCAAATCATGTATAGTTGGAACAAAGGCCCTGAAACAGGAGCAAGCTTCCAGTGCTTGAAGAAGGAAGCCAATGTGGCTGCAGCAGAGTAGACGATTCAGAGAAAAGCAGAGGAAGTCAGAGATGGGAGTGGGGAGTAAGGAGGACAGATCACATTTGGCTTGTTCGTCTGAGTGAGTTGAGAAACTACTGGGTTTTGAATGAATGAATGAACTGATTTACTGCACATTCTAGCTTCAGTATAGAGAGACAAGGCAGAAGCAGGGAACCAGTTATAAGACTCCAACAATAATATAAATGAGAAACGATGCTGTTTTGCACTAGGCTGGCAGTGACAAAAGTGGTGAGATGTGGTCATATTCTGGATGTATTTGAAGGTAGAGTCCATAGCCAATGGGACTTAGAGAGAGACTTAATGATGACTGTGAGAGAGAGAAAAGAATTCAAGCCTGATGGCTTCCAGTTTAAGCAGCAGAAGGATGGGGAAGACTGAGGGAGGAGAAAGATTGAAAAATATCCATCGCTCAATTTTGGACTTAGGTTTGAGATGCTTATGAGACATCCGAAGAAACCCCTAAAAAGCAGGCAGCTGGATTCTTGAGTCTAGAGGTTGGAGGAGCAGTTCAAGCAAGGAGTATAAGTTTGAAAGTAATCATTTTGGCCGGGCGTAGTGGCTCACACTTGTAATCCCAGCACTTTGGGAGGCTGGGGTGGGTGGATCACCTGAGGTCAGGAGTTCGAGACCAGCCTGACCAACATGGTGAAACCATCTCTACTAAAAAAAAAAAAAATGCAAGAATTAGCCAGGTGTGGTGGCGCACCCCTATAATCCCAGCTACTCGGGAGGCTGAGGCAAGAGAATCACCTGAACCTGGGAGGGGGAGGTTGCAGTTAGCTGAAATCTCACCATTGTACTCCAGCCTGGGCAGCAACAGCAAAACTCTGTCTCGGAAAAAAAAAAAAGCCGGGGGTGGTGATTCACACCTACAATCCCAGCACTTTGGGAGGCCAAGGCAGGCAGATCACCTGCATTCAAGAGTTTGAGACCAACCTGGCCAGCATGGTGAAACCCCGTCTCTACTAAAAATACAAAATTAGCTGGGCGTGGTGGCGCATGCCTGCAATCCCAGCTACTCGGGAGGCTGAGGCAGGAGAATCACTTGAACCTAGGTGGTGGAGGTTGTGGTGAGCCAAGATCGCCCCATTGCACTCCAGCCTGGGCAACAAGAGAGAAACTCCGTCTCCAAGAAAAAAAAAAGTAAGTAAGCAATCATTTTATATCTGTATCTATATAAAACATTTAACTTTGAGATTAAGTTCCATATTAGGCAGAATATGTTCACTACAGTTCATCTCTTGCATTGATTACAACTGAAAACACTGGATATAAAAATAAAAAATTTTTTAAAAACTACCTGAGGACTCTGAAAAGTAAATAAAAGCAGGGGGATTACAGAGCAAGTCAAAACTTGGAGAAGCCACTGCATAAGGGTGAGGTCCTGGTTGTCTTTTTTCTTTTTAGGCTCTCTCTCTCAACAGCTTTGCCCCAAGGTTGAGCACAGCCCTGGAACAGCATGGCAGCAGAAGCAGCAAAGGTAGCTAAAACTCTAACAGAAACCCCATCTTCCTAACCAAAGGAACTAGGAAAAGAAACCTCCGCAGGCTGGAGAGTAAGAGAAGAAGTCCACAGTGGAGTGAACCAGAGAAGAGGATCCCCTAATTCTGTGTACAGACCTGTACAAATCTCAGGCTCACTCTGACGTAGGCATACGTTTAGAGAGCTGAGCAAAGACTTTAACCACCACCCTCGGAAGGCAAGACAGAACTTATTGTCAGAACATACGGCTTAAATGCTTGTTAAAACAAAAACCAACATTCTCCAAAGGATCTGTATAACGGGACATTCACCCTGTCCAGGATACAATCCAAAATTATTTGCTACACAAAGAATCAGAAAATGTAACCAATACTCTCAAGGTAAAAGACAATCAACGATGCAAAACCTAAGAAAGCCCAGATTATGGAATTATTAAAGACTTTAAAACAGCCGTTAGAACTGCAAGGTAAAGAAAGCCCACTAGAAATGAAAAAAAAGATACAGGCTCTCAGCAGAGAAACAGAAAATATAAAATGAACCAAATGGAAATTTTAGAACTGAAAATACCATATTTGAAATAGAAAACTCACTAGAATGGTTTATGAGTAGAAAGAAGATGAAGGAGGAGTCAGTGAATTTAAAGATATATCAACATAAATTATCAAATGTGAAGAACAGACAGAAAAGGGATTCAAAGTGAACAGTTTCAGGGACCTATGGGACAATATCCAAAGGTTTAATATATGCATCATTGGAAGCCCAGAAGAAGCAGAGAAAAAAATTGAAAATCCCAATATATAATATTATAAAGACATTTTCAGTTGAAGGAAAACTAAAAGAATTCAGGCTAACTTTTTGTATATTTAGTAGGACAGGCTTTCACCACGTTAGCCAGGATGGTCTCAATCTCTGGACCTCGTGATCTGCCCGCCTTGGCCTCCCGAAGTGCTGGGATTACAGGCGTGAGCCACCGTGCCCTGCCAACTGGGAGAGATTTACCCCCTAGAAGACATCTGACAATATTTGGAGACATTTTATGGTTGTTACAACTGTGGGGGGTGGTGCTACTGGCATTTAGTAGATAAGAGGTGGGGATATTGCTGAATATCCTACCATACACAAGCTGTATCACAAGAATGATAGAGCTCAAATGTCAACAGTGCCAAAGTTGATAAACCATGCTCTATAGCAACCACTGGGATAAACAAAGAAGAAAAAACAAAGAGATATGGTGAAAAAAAAATCAATAAGTTGAAATGGCATACTAAAAATATTTAAATAATGCAAAAGAAGTCAAGAGGAGGGGCACAGAGGAACAAAAATTACAGGGTCAAATAGAAAACAGATAATTAAATGACCAACCTAAATCCTACTATATCAATAATTACATTAATGATCTAAATCACTATTGTCTAACAGAAATATAATGCCCACACAATACTTCTAAATTTTCTAGTATATATTTTATTTAATATATACATTTTATATATATATAAAATATTTCCATTCAATATGCAATCAACATAAAAAAATTATCAGCCGGGCGCGGTGGCTCAAGCCTATAATCCCAGCACCTTGGGAGGCCGAGGCGGGTGGATCACGAGGTCAGGAGATCGAGACCATCCTGGCTAACATGGTGAAACCCCGTCTCTACTAAAAATACAAAAAACTACCCGGGCGTGGTGGCGGGCACCTGTAGTCCCAGCTACTCGGAGGCTGAGGCAGGAGAATGGCGTGAACCTGGGAGGCGGAGTTTGCAGTGAGCCGAGATCACGCCACTGCACTCCAGCCTGGGCGACACAGCAAGACTCCGTCTCAAAAAAAAAAAAAAAATTATCAGTGGGCCAGGTGGCTCATGCCTGTAACCCCAGCACTTTGAGAGGCTGAGGCGGGTGGACTGCTTGAGGCCAGGAGTTTGAGAACAGCCTGGGCAACATGGTGAAACCCTGTCTCTACTAAAATTACAAAAATTAGTTGGGCATGGTGGCATGTGCACCTGTAATCTCAGCTACTCAGGAGGCTGAGGCACAAGAATCGCTTGAACCCAGGAGGCAGAAGTTGCAATGAGCCGAGATCACACCATTGCACTCCGCCTGGGCAACAGAGCGAGACTCTGTCTCAAAAAAAAAAAAAAAAAAAAATTATTGAAATACTTTACATTATATTTTTCAATATTAAGTCTCCCAAACCCCATGTGTACTTCACACTTACAGCACACGTCAATTTGGACTAGTTACATTTCAAAGACTAAAGTATAGTTTAGTGGCTATCATTATGAGCACAGGTTTCAACACTCCAGTTAAAAGGCAAAATTCAACAAAGTAGATTTTAAAAAATACATTATCGTGGCTGGGCGTGGTGGCTCACGCCTATAATCCCAGCACTTTGGGAGGCCTAGGTGGGTGAATCACCTGAGGTCAGGAGTTTGAGACCAGTCTGGCTAACACGGTGAAACCCTGTTTCTACTAAAAATACAAAAATTAGCTGGGCGTGATGGCAGGTGCCTGTAATCCAAGCTACACAAGAGGCTGAAGCAGAAGAATCACTTGAACCCAGGAGGTGGAGGTTGCAGTGAGCAGAGATTGCACCACTGCACTCCAGCCTCGGCTACAGAGAGACAGTCTGTCTCAGAAAAATGAAAAAACAAAAAAAATTATTGCTTACATGCTGCCTATAAGAGATACACTTTAAATAAATTAACATAAACAGGTTGAAAGCAAATGAATAAAAGCTCATGCAAAGAATAAGCATAAGAAAGATGGAGTAGCTATTTTGATCAGATAAAAGAGCCTTCTAGACAAATAATATAATCAGAATACAAATTATTTGGATACTCCATCATCTTAGTGTTGGTACTGCCTAATACCACAAGTTCTAAAAAGTCCACTACCAAAACACCTTACATTCACTTCCCACAGTGTGGCAGAGCCAATGTGAAGGGAAAAGCGAATAGTGAATTATTTTATCTAATGGTCCAAATGAAGTTTTCTCAGTGAAATTTACCAAATTAATCTGCCCTATTCAAAGATGTTACCTTCTGGACAGAGTCCCAATGCTTCATAAGTAAGGAGTTCGTTGGTAGAAAAGCAATCGTGAAGTTCTATTACGTCAATATCATTTGGTGTCAGGCCAGATTTCTCATAGCATTTTCTTGCAGCTTCTTTACTCATATCAAAGCCAACCTAAAAACAAAACGATATATAAATAAAGGGCACCAAAACTAGGCCTTTTAGACAAGTAGTTTAAGAGATTAATAGATGCATAACCTTAACAACTGATAATTGACCGTATATATTGAAATCTTGGCCAGGTGCAGTGGCTCATGCCTATAATCTAAGCACTTTGGGAAGCTGAGGCAGGAGGATCGTTTGAGCCCAGGAGTTTGAGACCAGCCTGGGCAACACTGGAAGATCCTGTCTTTACAAATAATTTAAAAATTAGCCGGGCGTGGTAACATGTGCCTGTAGTCCCAGATACTCGGGAGGCTAAGCTGGGAGGATCGTTTGAGCCCAGGAGGTCAAGGCTGCAGTGAACCAGGATCACCCCACTCAATTCCAGCCTGGATGAAAGAGCAAGATTCTGTCTCAAAAAAAAAAAAAAAGAAGAAGAAAAGAAAGAGAGGAAAGGGAAAAGGAAAGAAAGGGAGGAAGGGAGGGAGGGAGGGAGGGTCGGTCAATTGATTCTATATTACACAGAAAGTCCAAATAAAATAACATCTAGGAGGAGTATGTACATATTCAATTTTGTACTAAACAATGACAGAATTTTTAAATAAAATATATAAAAAGGACCTAGAATTCCTCAGAGCATATCTTGTGCTAAGTTACAAAACCTCTGTCAAACTACAATGTATAGTTGTGATAAACAAGTTGCAGACATTTATTACCAGATCATTATGAGTCAGATACACTGAAAAATATGGGAGAATTTCTATATAAATTGACACAATCTTCTTTAGAAGATCATCTAGGATTCAAACCATTTTTCCAAAGTCCATGTTCCTAATATGTCTTTGGCCTCAAATGATAAAATAACTTTTCTTCAAGGAATAAAACTGTGAGGCCAGGCATGGTGGCTCATGCGTGTAATCCCAGCACTTTGGCACTTTCGAAGGCCAAGGCAGGTGGATCGCTTGAGTACAGGAGTTGAAGACCAGGCTGGGTAACATGGCAAAACACTGTCTTTACAAAAAAAATAATAATAATAATACAAAAATTTAGCCAGGTGTGGTGGCACGTGCCTGTAGTCCCACTTACTCTAGAGGCTGAAGTGGGAGGACTACTTGAGCCTAGGAGGCAGAGGTTGCAGTGAGCTATGATCGCATTACCATACTCCAGCCTGGGCAACAAAGCAAGATCCTGTCTCAAAAAGAAAAAGAAATAAAACTGTGGTGTAATGAAAAACGTACTATAACCAGGAAACCTAAGTATAAATTCTACCTCTGCCACAATCTAACTGTGATCTTGGGCAGTTACAAAAACATTTGCCAATTTACAGTGTTGTTGTAAAATCATTCTGTAAACTATAATTTAGCATGCAATTTTGTGTATTGTGTGTATGTCTTCAAATATTCAACTAACTCTAGGTCTGAATTTTCATCTTTTTTACTTTTTCCATTTTGTACTCAATCTTTAATCAGAATTTTTAAAGTGGTGAGGGTCAAGAAAGTTCATTAAAATCATCTTTGTGGCCATATGTGGTGATTCACGCCTGTAATCCCAGCACTTTGGAAGGCTGAGGCAGGTGGATCACTTGAGCCAGGAGTTTAAAACCAGCCTGGGAAACATGGCAAAACCGTATCTCTACAAAAAATATAAACATTAGCTGGCAGTGGTGGCATGTGCCTGTAGTCCCAGCTACTTGGGAGGCTGAAGTGGGAAGAGTGATTGAGCCTGGGATGTGGAAATTACAGTAAGCTGAGATCGCACTACTGCACTGCAGCCTGAGTGACAGAGTAAGACCCTGTCTAAAAAAAGAAAAGAAAAGAAAAAAGAAAAGAAGAGAAGAGAAGAGAAGAGAAGAGAAGAGAAAAGAAAAGGGACAACAAAACAAAATAATCTGTTTTTGCCTTAACTCTGTAACACTGGAGTTCTAGGCATAGTCAACTTAAAATAATGATAAATAGCATGTCTAGTAAATTAAAAGTTATTATATAATAATGCATGGCTCTATCACAAAAAGCATGAGACTCTATCTTAAAAATAAAAAAAAATAAAAATAACAAATAAACAGAATCTCAGACATACCATTTTAATAACGCTCTTTTCTTCAAACGAGCTTGGCAAATCAGTCATCATTTCTTGTGCCAAAATTTCCACAGCTTTGGATTGCAGGCCATACTTCTGTACAAATGCTTCACTGGCCAAAATTGCTGCTGCAGCACCATCTGAAGTGGGACTAAGAGGAAGTAAAAACAGTTCTAGGAGTTCCTTCTATGTGAAAAGAAAGGCCAAATATACTTGCTGGTCAGTGGATTGTCTTCTTTGTGATATCTACAGTTGTAAATCTCATGCTTCCCACCTAAGGACTGAAGCTCTATCAAGAACTTAAATGTTGTCAATCACTACTTGGTATCTAAGAGTCCCAAAAAGTTCTATTTTTTTTTTTTTTTTTTTTTTTTGAGATGGAGTTTCGCTCTTGTTGCCTAGGCTAGAGTGCAATGATGTGATCTTGGCTCACCGAAACTGCAACCACCTCCTCCCAGGTTCAAGTGATTCTTCTGCCTCAGCCTCCCGAGTAGCTGAGATTGCAGGCATGCGTCACCACGCCCAGCTAATTTTGTATTTTCTGTAGAGACAGGGTTTCTCCATGTTGGTCAGGTTGGTCTCGAACTCCCGACCTTAGGTGATCTGCCCGCCTCGGCCTTCCAATGTGCTGGGATTACAGGCATGAGCTACCGCGCCCGGCCCCAAAAAGTTCTTATTGCAAAGAATCACCAATTTGCCTCTGGAGATGCATAAGGCATCTTCTGAGGAGTGAGTCCAAAAGGTTATTCCTATCCTAGTACAGACTGCCCCAGCTCCAACTTTACTATCTCCAAATAACTCAGTCCTGAAATCCTTTTGGAAACTGGGAAAAGATAGATTGGGGATACTAAACCATCTGCTTTAGTTAAGACTCTTGATATCTTAAATAGATCTTTCTCTTACAGCAAATTGGGATGGAAGGTAGCAAACACAAGAAGCCCTCTGTGACTTCAGTTAGATTTTCTAAATGGGCAGACCCTCATATCACAACAAAAGAAAGCTGACCCAACTTCTTTCTTTCCATCCCAGCCTGTATCTACAGGGCACAGCCAGGTGTTAACTGGGACATAGGCAGGAGCTAGGCAGTACTCACTCAATTGTCTAGGAGACAGATACTGTCAAGCACTTTGCAAGAAACAACTATTACCATCATTAGAGCTACGAATTTTTCCTTGTTTTACTTTTACTCATAGCTACTATTATAGAGTAGTATTTCCTGTAGTAGAAGTACATAGCAGGGAAAACAAAATGCTTTGGACTCCACTGGCCCCCTAAGCCACAGTTTAGTGAACAAATACAACTGAAATCACCAAAGTAGGTAGAAGTCATGCAAGAAGAAGTAAAACACATCATTTTCCAAGAGAAGAGGCAGTCTGTCTCCAGGCAAGAGTAGGAAGTAAGGGTACTCTAGTGAAGTGACCCAGAGTGGGGACGTGGGATGGGGATGGCACTGGGAGGAGTTCTGTGAAAGCTCTGCCCAGATACAGAGCCTAAGGTTTAACCACAGGGGGGTGGCAGGAAGGGGAGCAGTTACTTCTCTCATTAAATGTTAAAATATATTTTTCTTACCAACATTGTAAGATAGTCAAAAAATCAAAAACTTTTTTAGATGCCATCACTTCATCTAAACTGTATTCATCTTGGAACTGGGAATACCTAAATATAAAATAAATATTAGTTACAGAATGTGAGATAGCAACTGTGTAATTTTTGTTGCAGCGTCAGAAACAGAATAATATGTAAGTGTTCTTTTCACAACCAAAAGACAGATTTTTATGAATAGCTATAAATTTCATCTGAATTGACCTTTTAAAAAATCCTAACTCTAAAAAACAGTATGTTTGATTTTTAAACATTTAGTCTTTGTCCTGCGTTCCTGGCTTGGAGCTTCCAGAGCCGTTGGAATTTCCTGAATGATAGAAGTCGGTGTTATGCTAATGAGGTCCCTTATAGTGGGCCCTGTTATATGGAAGACTGACCACCAAAAGACCAACCACGTGACTACAGAGTTGAGACTTTTGAGCCAGCTCAACCTCTGAGAAGAAGAGAAGGCTGGAGATTGAGTTCAGTCATGTGGCCAGTGATTTAATCTAGCACGCCAATATAATGAAGCCCCAGTAAAAAATCTGGACATGGTGTTCAGCGGGGCTTCCTGATTGGTGAACATCTTGATGGATCCGGAGGATGACATGCCCTGACTCCATAGGCAAAAGGCAAGAAAGCTTTGCTTGGCATCCTCCGAGACCTCGCTCTATATGCCTCTTCATTTGGCTGTTTCTGATTTATATCCTTTATAGTAAAACTGTAAGTTTAAGTACTTGCCTGAGTTCTGTAAGTTGTTCTAGTGAATTATTGAACCTGAGGGAGTCATGGGAACCCCTAGATTTGTGGTCAGTTGGTCAAAAGTATGAGTGGCATGGGCAACCCACTTGCAGCTAATGTCTGACATATGAACAGTCTTGTGGAGGACTGGGTCCTTAATTCATGGAGTTTGCATTAACTCCCAGATGCTTCGTGGTGGAATTGAGTTGCAATATACCCAGTTGGTGTTAGACCAGTTGGGGATTAAAACAGAATACCATATTTATGTTTCCTGGCAAATTATAGAATACTAGTTCCTTAAAAGCAAAATCAAATGACCTACAATTCAGCCAACTTTTGAGGTGATAACATTATACAAGTACATTAATTATGGCTAATGGAGCTTTTAAATAAATGTACAAAATAGCCAAGCGTGGTGGCTCACACCTGTAACCCCAGCACTCTGGGAGGCCAAGGCGGGCAGATCACCTGAGGTCAGGAGTTTGAGACCAGCCTGACTAACATGGCAACACCCTATCTCAACTAAAAATACAGGCTGGGTGCGGTGGGTCACGCCTGTAATCCCAGCACTTTGGGAGGCAGAGGCAGGTGGACCACAAAGTCAAAAGTTCAAGACCAGCCTGGCCAAGATGGTGACACCGTGTCTCTGCTAAAAATACAAAAATTAGCCGGGTGCTGTGACAGGTGCCTGTAATTCCAGCTACTCGGGAGGCTGAGGCAGGAGAATCGCTTGAACCCAGAGGGCGGAGGTTGCAGTGAGCTGAGATCACGCCACTGCATTCCAACCTGGGTGACAGAATGAGACTGTGTCTTAAAAAAAAAAAAAAAAAAAAATTAGCCGGGCATGGTGGTTCCTGTAGTCCCAGCTACAAGGGAGGTGGAGGTTGCAGTGAGCCAAGATCACGCCACTGCACTCCAGCCTGGGTGACACAGAGAGATTTTGTCTCAAAAACAAACAAAAAAAGAATCATTAGCTTAAATAATATTCTAAATATAAAGTGGCCAAAAACTGAAACGGAAAAATTGTCAAAAGTTTACTTGGGTATAAGCCTTTTGTAAGAAAAACATAAAACATTCTAGTTAATATATTTGAGATTTTGGCATTTGCTTTTCAAGCATAAAGTTGCATATTACACAGTACGATAACCCAGATTTTCATTATTTCATGTCTCTGAAATACTTACGGGTTATTAACTGAATGTTTATGATTTTTCCATCCAATTTTTGCAAAGTGTTCAATTTTTGTTCCTGTAGAGAAAGCAAACATCTACCAGTGGGTGAATGTTTTTCTGCTGCTTATTAACAAATGTTGCAATGGTACTCAGTGTTCTGCTAAATATTTCCATGTTTTCCCTTTCATATATATCACCAGCATTAAAAACTTCAGCACTGTTCCCTCAAAAAAATTTTATTTATAATTAAATGTAGGCCTAATTAATGAACTGAATCAACTAATTGGCACACGAAATAAAAACAGTTCAAACTGATCTATTCTAATTAAAATAAGTAGGATCCAGTTTCAAAAATGAGAAAACACGGCCTAAACATACTCCAAAACATAGTGGTTTTAAGGCAGGAGAACACTGCCAGCAATTTCTCTAGGAATCTGTCAAATACCCTAGTACCCTAGACTGAGAGAATTTTACACAACTCGCACTCTCCAGGGCATGATAAAACATTTCATCTCTCTCCCTTTCCTTGTGATGAAACAGAAAAGTTTTTAGAAGAGTTATATCCTGATAAGAAATGCGTATGCCTTTTAAATTCCTTAACAGAAAATTTAAATAATCATGTCAGGAAAACAAAAAAAAGTACAGTAATGAGGTAAAACATGCAAAAATAATTTTTTTTTACTACTTTTAAAAAGACAAAACAGAATAAAATAGGCTTTGAATTCTCATTTGGTGCTATAAAGGCCAAAGAAAAAGAAAGCCACCAATGAGGGCTGATAATGTTATATTAATGGCACAGTAAAGTACAAAGTTCCCATGTCTGTTTTCTCTCTCTCTTCTCTATCAAGGAGGATGATCTTCAGAGCAAAAATGACATACACATAATTAAGCAAACCTTATCCAAATTCTAATAAAAAGAGAAGATAAATTCCACACTTGTGATCTTCTAACAATAAAAATAGTGATCAGGGCCAGGCGCGGGGGCTCATGCCTGTAACCCCAGCACTTCGGGAAGCTGAGATGGGTGGGTCATTTGAGGTCAGGAGTTCAAGACCAGACTAGCCAGCATGGTGAGACTCCATCTCTAATAAAACTGCAAAAATTAGCCAGGTGTAGTAAAAATACAAAAATTAGCCAGGTATAGTGGCACAAGCCTGTCATCTCAGCTACTCGGGAGGCTGACGCAGGAGAATCACTTGAACTAGGGAGACAGAGATTGCAGTGAGCTGAGATTGCACCACTGCACTCCAGCCTAGGTGACAGCGTGAGACTTCATCTCAAAAAAAGAATAGTGATCGGGAGGAGGCCAATAGGGGTTCAACAAGAATAAGACAAGTCAAATTATGTGTTATCTTTTCGTGACTGAATTGACTGGTAGATCAAAGAAAACATAGTATCTGGACAGCAGAAAGAAAATTAACGAAATTTCTCAAAACACCATTTTGCACAAGATAAGGAAATACTATAGTGTGGGATTTTGGAGTGGGGGGGTATTTTCATTTTTATCTTTGTGGTGTTACCAAAAAAAAAGAAGATTCTTCTGTCAAGTAAGTTTAGACTATGGTTAAACAAAGCTAATGTCTTTACTGTAAGACATTTGGAGCCTTTACTATTGCACTATGCATTATGACCATCTAGAAGAGGACTAAAATATGAAGCATTTCCCAATATTACACTCATGTGAAACAACAGGCATTAATTAATGCATTGACCTAGAGAAAAGTTTCTAGCACTAACTTCTAACCTCAGCTCTGGTCTTGTTAATATTTATATAACAAAGTAAGAAAGAAAAATAGAGGCTCTCTCACCAAACCTAAAGCTAGAAGGGACTGCTATAATGTTGAATTTCAACAAGGTCTATCAATAGGATGGATCAGAATATAAATTAAATGCTCAGTTCTATTCTTGAACTCCCACAACAACCTGCAAAAAGGCACAACAACTACGAGAAACCTCAAGCTCAGTGAGATTTCATAGTGTGATGTGACTAGCAGAATAGCTTACTTGGGATCACAGTACGGCAATTAGACTGGTTATGGGTTATGAAACAAGTCTAATGAGAATAGTTAAGAGAAGAAATGAAATATAGGGTCAGTCTGGCTTCAGATATTTGAAGGGCTACAAGGTAAAAGAGGCTTTTTCTGTCATTCTCAGAAGACAAAAACAAGAGCATGGATGCAAACCATAGGTTGAGAGATTTGGGTTCAACATGAAAAAAGGGAACTGTAACAATTGGAATCTCCTAAAAATGGGATTGGTGGCCTCAGTTGGTGACAAATTCCTTGTTTTAGGAAGTACACATGCTTTATTGTCTCTATTAGATTTACAGGCAATCCATACATTGATTGGTAGGAAGAAGGGTGGCTAAAACAGTAAAGTACCTGGCATAGTGTCTAACATAAGAGATGTTCAATAATGTTCATATTTTTTCTTCCTTTTTTTGTAACATGGGATCCAATTAATCAATAAAAGATAGCATCCCCTTGAAAAATATTCTGCCATTTACATATTTATTAAGCCTGGGCACTGATGAAGGGCTTATCGACTACTGATTCTGAATTGCCAATTAAGATTTTTGGCTATTCAAAGGCTATGCCTTTATGTAAAACTATTTTAATAGCCTATAATTTAATTATGACATCACAAAATCTGCTGGTTTTACCAATGATTTAAACTACTATAAGCTTTCTTACATATTCATTTCTAGTGCACATTCACAATATTCACAAACAGCAATTTTAAATAACAATTTCAATTCTATAAAATTCTACAATTCATTTAGAAATCTGTCGAATGAAGAATAAAGAAACAATACCCCAAAATGATGGCCTCAGAAGCAAAAGTTTTTCACCGACCTTCTCCTACCCTCCTGTCTCTCAGGCCCATTCTCCCCTGAGGCTAACCATAGAAACTAGAATCCCCCTTCCCCAAGGTAGGTCATAGAAACCAGAACTCCTTTTCCCCAAAGCCAGTCATAAAACCTAGAAATATTACTTTAACTTCATCCACCTTTCTGTGCAAAAACTGGTCATAAAGAAATTGTCTGACCTATCTTGTTTGACTGTAGGTCATAAGACCCCCATTCCAGAAAGGGTCCTGCCCCACACCCAGAAGGAAGGAATGCATGCTCACAGAGGCCAAGAGGAACCTAGATGGACAGGCCTGGCTGGGTTTCCCCACTCAGTCTATTAGTATTAGATCATATGCTTTTTGTCCAATCATATTTCTATATGGCTGTTCCATACTTTGTTGAACCTAAGCACAAAAATGGACAATTTCTCATTTCTTTGTGTCTTCATTCTGAATGCTCCCGTGTACACACATTAAATAAATTCATATGCCTTTTCTCCTGTTAATCTGCCTCATGTCAGTGATTTTCAGTGAACCTTCAGAAGGTCAAGGCCCTTGTTCCCTACAATGATATTTCCACTAAGATAGTGTACATTTGTATTTCAAATTTTAGACTAGAAAACTGTCCAATTATTCTAAGCAATGTAAAACTTGAGAAAATATATACACTTAAAAACACACCAGCAACAGGATTTCCAGCCGGTTGAGGAAAAATGGAGGCCGCCTAAATCTGTGTCTTTCTATAGCCTCTAAAACCAATACAGAATAACAAGAAAAAATAAAATAGCACAAATCATACTCTCAGCATAATTAGAAAATAGAAAATGCCAAATTTCAAATTATCTGTAAGTTAAAAAAAAAAAAAAAGAAAAAGAAAAAATATATAAGACCAAATCCCAGCCAACAATTGCTCATGTTTCTACACAAACCTTTAAGGGTACAAGCGCAGGCTGAGGAAACTGTGCAGAGAAGATGGGAGATAATGGCAGGCCAACAACTGCTCTAAACTACCAAGAAAAGAAAGGCCTCCTCCCCAAGTGTGAAAATACCAAGAAAGTATTCCTATAGATCAAACCATGACTATACGGAACGGGCTGAAAAACACAGGAGATCTGAGATGGGAACCTTAAAGGCATAGGTTCTGAGAAGAAAAAAAAAAAAAAAAGCAAAATGAAAGGGCAAGGTCCCTTTTGGTGCAATTGGGTAGTGAAAGAGAAAAGCAGCAAAAGAGGACATTTGTATGGTTCTACAAAACAAAAAAAGGACAAGGTACACCTGTAGTCCCAGCGACTCAGGACACTGAGGCAGGAGTATTGCCTGAGCCCAGGAGTTTGTGGCCATAGTGCACCTAAAAAGAGTCAGTCTGGGCAGTATTGCAAGACCCCATTCCACTACACTTACAGAAAAGGGCACCATAGTACTAAGAATCCCCCCAATCTACAAACAACACACTCAAATCACCAGGCAATAAAACTAGAAATTACTGATAAAATTAAAAGTCCACCTGGAAATTTAAAAAATATTTCCATGAAATAATTCTTGGGTAAAAAATGAAAATAGAAATGGAAATTACAGAACTTGTCAGAAAATAGTGATAATGAAAACACTACATATCAGAATCAATGTGATACATTTAACACAGTAATCAGGAAAATATATACCACCAACCATTTATTAATAAGAATAAATGGATTATTTATTCTTATTAATAAATGGTTGGTGGTATATATTTATTAATATATATTAATATAATACATTGATATATTTATTCATTAATATATTATATATTATATAATATAATATATATTTTATATAATATATAAATATATTTTATATATAATATATATTTTATATAATATATAAATATATTTTATATATAATATATATTTTATATAATATATAAATATATTTTATATATAATATATATTTTATATAATATATAAATATATTTTATATATAATATATATTTTATATAATATATAAATATATTTTATATATAATATATATTTTATATAATATATAAATATATTTTATATATAATATATATTTTATATAATATATAAATATATTATAATATAATATACATATTTATTAATATATACCACCAACCATAAGGATTATTAAGCAGTAAAAAGGAATGAGGTCCTAATACATGCTATGACATGAATGAACTGTGAAAACATACTAACTTAAAGAAGCCAGTCACAAAAGGTCACTTTTTTTTCT